CTGGGGGGCTCATTCCGGAGATGCCTTTCCTCTGTTTACATCAACCCCTAAGTGATATTAAGCTTCTCACATATTCATACGCTAACAACGAGCACGTTTATATCTCTAACCCAAATGTCCTTTGTGAGATTTTATTCAATTGCAAAATTGGCATCTCAGTTTAGATGGTACATAGCACCTCACATTTAACTACACCTAACATGACTACTCGAATTTTCTCTGACTCTGTTCTTCCCTTAATTTTCCACATCTCCCAGGGGCACTGTAATTCACCTGGTTATTTGATCCATATATTTGGGACTGGTTCTTGACAACTGTCTTTAGCCATCCTCACCCAACCTGTCATCCACCCTGACAATTCTACTTTCAGAATAGATCTAAACTTCATCTCGGTCTCATCACTTACACTGTCACCACTCTAGTTCTGGGAAAGGATGATGCCTCCTGGGACTCTCACAAAAACTCCAGAACTGGTCTAAGTGTTTCCATTCTGCCACTCATGCCCCCTCCTCATCCCAACCAGAGTAGTTTTAAACAAGACCCTCTCATTCTCCTCCTTAAAACCTCTCCGTGGATTCCCACCCCAGGTGTTTTGGGCTTTTGTTTGGTTGTTTTTGTTTTTTGTTTTTGTTTTTTTTCCCCCCACACTGCCCTCCTTTCTGCCTGGTGTGCTCTGACTCTGCCCATCTGGCGACTTCACTCTGAATCCTTCTTTGGGGCTCACTGTGCTCCAGGTCCAACCACTGGGGTTTCAGCTCCCTGGAATGAAACAATCTCTTTCACGCCCCGGGGAGTTATGTTATAGGGCTCATTGCCCCTCCTCACCTTCTTGAGTGCTTTGTCTCTTTTCGTACTTTAGATTTTGGCTAAAATGTTGCTTCTTGAGAGAGGCATTATCTAAAATCCAGCATCCAAAATAATTCCATTACTTTTCTTTGTAGAAAAAAAAATCACTTGTTTGTTTGCTTTTCTAACATGTGTTTTATTAGTTGTGAAGGTTTAGTGTATCCACTTATTCTCACATGGCGTAGTTCCTGATGCAGAGTGGATATATAAGTAAAAAAATATAGAAAAAAGGATCCTAGAGGTATGCTTAAATATTATTCCCCCCCCCATAAAGACTGTGAAAAAATGCACAGTCCTTGGGATTTTTTTTTTTGGTGTGTATTATATATTCTTAATTAAAAATTTTCCTTGTGGTAATATAGATGGAACATGCAGCTGCGATAAATAATACAGAGAAGTCTCTTGTCCCTCTCATTCACTTCTCCCAATGATACCACCTCGCAGAACTACAGTAGCATCACAACCAGGATAGTGACGCTGGTACAGTCAGGACCCTAACCGCTTCTATCACCACAGCAGTCCCTCGTGCTGTGTTGTCCTTCTGCAACCATGCCCACTTTGCTCCCACTCCATCCCTCCTTACCTGCCAGCAGCCATTAATCTGCTCTCCATTTTCATAATTTTGTCATTCCAAGAATTTTATATAAATGAAATCAGAGAGTATGCAATCTTTTGAGATTGGATTTTTTTCACTCCGTGTAATTCTCCGGAGATTTATTTATTTCTGTTGCATTGGATCAATAGTGCATTCTTTTTTATTGTTAAGAGTATTCCATGGTGTGGACATACCAAGTCTGTCTAACCATTCACCTGCTGGAGGGCATCCGGGTCCTTTCCAGTTTTTGGCTATCACGAATAAGTCTGCAATGCTCATCTTCGTGCAGGTTTCTGTGTGACCATGTCTTCATTCCCCTGGGGTAAGTGCCTGACAGTGCAATTGCAAAATCATATAGTAGGTGTGTGTTTAGTTTTCAAAGAAACTCTTATTGGGAATTGGGATGAAAATAAGGATGGTTTGCAAGAGGTATTGTGAAGAAGAGATTAAGACTGTAACAAAAAGCTAGTTGGGGGTGACCAAAAGATATCAACAAATTGAAATTGTGAACTGAATCTAACAACAAAATATTCTAAAAGGGACACACTTCAAGTCCTCCCTTAGGATTCAGTATGAAACAATGAGGATAAGGAATATGTTACTTATTTGATAACATTAAACAAACAATAAATAAAACTTGGAGACATCAGTGGACAGTGGTGTGGTCATGATTATTTGGAGGAACTTCTCCAAAAATCAAGGGAGGCTCCCTTCTTCTTTTTGGCCCTAAATTAATTGTGTTTTAATTTCCTTTTATCTTTTAAATCAGCAATGGAATTGAAAGTTTAGGATTCCCAAGAACAGATCTAAATCAGAAGTAATTTTCAACAGTGTCTTTAGTTTCTATGTAAATCTACAGCAGATATTACCTGTCAGTGAGGTCCCTCTTCTTAAATTTTTCACTATGTCTGTACAAGCTTAAAACTCTCCCCCATCGCACCCCATTTGTAAAAAGAAAGAAAAAAAGGTTGATCACTGCCAAGACATTACTTCTTCCCCAGGAAAAAAATGTCTTGCTCCCATTTTTAAAATATGGGATATATTCAATAGTGATAACTCCCAATTACATTGGAGCCACTGAGTAGTGGGACAGCTCTATTCTTTAATAGAAATGTTATAAAGAAAAATGCATACACGCTTCCTCCTGACATAGAGTGATGATATATCAAGACTTCATAGAATTGGTCGTGCTGTCATTCCCTCTTCTTCTTCAACATATATCTCTTGGAACTGCAACAGCCTCAACCAAGCTATGTGGTCCCATACTGTCCTAATGATGTCAAGTTCATGTTCTTTCCAGATGAAGGAAGGGTCGATGGGTGGTAAAAGGCCAAAGAATGCCTGCTGGCCTTCAGTGGTCCCTGACACACTGATGTTCATAACTATCTTGAATGAAAAGAGAAAAATATTCTAACTGAAGAAAATGGTACTGTATTCTTCACTGTCTGGATTGCTCGTAAGAGTATTGGCTTAAACTATAATCATATTTTTTTATATATTAGGAGAAACAAAAATCAAGATTCTCATAGATGAAATCAAGTTCTCACAGATTAAAATTAAAACGAAGATAAACAAGAAAGTACCTGAGGGCACTGCAAGTCCAACAATCAATAAATTCTTAGATCAAGCTTTCTGGTAAGTGAGGTTTTTTTTGTTTTGTTTTGTTTTTGTTTTCTGACACACCCTTAGAGTTCTTGGCATGGGAGGATATTTTTGGGAGAATAGCTCCATTTTATCATTTTCTCTACAGGCCTTCCATACTGTATATTCCTGTCCTCAACATTCTCCTTTCTGTTCTGGGCCATGAATGGTTTCCTGATATTGCTGGAAGTTCTCCATGGGGTCTGCTAAGCTACAACACTGGTGAGGGTTCTCCCTTCCAGTGGCACAATCCTATCCCCACTTCGCACCTATGCTGGGGAACATCACTGAAAAGACACGACTGTTGAATGACCTGTGAGCTGAACCCAGGCACTCCGAGGCTTCTCATCCCTTCTCCTGTCCTTGGAATGGGGTTCCACTTGCCTTTTTCTCTCCTGGAGGCTGCTCCCAGGACATAGACTTGGAATGGTGATGTGGCGTTGAGGACACCATGTGGTAGCATGACTGACCCCAGGTGAGGCCTGTTTACATACTGTTAGGATTATGCTGCCCTCAAGACAATCCTTATATATAAGTTCCCTTTGCTTATTAAAACTGCCATCCACCAACCTGGCCTGTCTCTTTCTTGGGTCTCTCCCTGCCCTTACACCCAGGAAGTTCCCTGGAAAGTTGTGAATAAACAAACTACTGAATCCAATTCTTCAGAGTAGAGACAATAAACATGAATGGAAAACAAAAATATAAAGAAAAAAAACCCATAAATGATTCTAACGCATTGCCAGATTTAAAAACCATTAGCCCCAAACAGATTTGTGTTTGAATCTTATCTGAATAATATAAGCGAGATATTTAATTCTCTAATCATTTAAAAAAATAATAATACCTTACTCCTGGGTAACCTTTACTGAATGTTTACCATGTGTCAGACAATGTGTGAAGAACCACGTGTATATTATTTTATTTATATAATAATGCTCTGAGATAGATATTATTATTATTTTTGATAAATATTATTAATCCATTTAATAAACAAACATACTGAAGCTTGTTGAGTTTAATAAAGTTAATAAGGTGTCCAAGATTATATATCTGGTGGCTGACTGAGCCAAGATGCAAGCCCAGGTAGTCTGAGTGAAGAATTTATCACAATGCTTGACACACAGCAGACAGATCATGTAGTAATCACCATAAGTAGTGTCAGATAATCATTACTGTTATAGTCAAATACTTCAGGAGTTTCCATCAAATACTGATCCTCTCTTGGGGCCAGTGCATAGTGCCTGCCTCACACTCTTCTACTTTGGAGGGAAACGCATTACTAAGCATCTGATGGGAAATCTGCTCTTAGGGATCTGCACATCTCACACATCATAAGGTATTATAAGAACCCACAATTTCATTTCATAACCCCAAAATTTAAGTGGAAGTGAAGAAAAACTAGGTTCTCTTCGATGTAGAGAATTCCGGATAAATTTCATGAAAGCTGCATGTATTGCCAGAGTGAGATTTTGGTACCCAGAAAGGCTCTTTCTGTAACTTCAGGGCCTGGGGAAGATGTGGAGTGGTCCCTAAGCTTCCCCTAACATGGGCAGAGTGGACATTTGAACAGTGATACCAAAGTTCCTCAGTCTAGGGTACTTGTGGAGGCTGCTCTGTGGGCCAGTTCTTTCCATGGACTCCCACTTTCAATTTCACTTCCTGAGTTTTCCCCCTAAATGGTAATATTTTAAAATGTTAATTATATATTCTTCAAGTCAGAAGGCAGACTTTAAAAAAGAACAGGGTAGACGATTTTATTGCTTTAGAAATACATTTCACCCTTTTACTGAACAACAGTATTTAGCTCATTCCATGTTGTGATAAGAACATGGCGCAGGAGAAACAGTCTTGAGTTGTACTGTTCATGCTCAACATATAGGAAAGAAATGTCCATGAAACATAAATATGGCACAGTTACCTGTCATGTTGCAGTAGACTTTCAGAGGCCCCAGAGGTCCACTGCCATCAGGATCTATCCAGTAGTAATTTGACGTCTGGCCCAGGTGTTTGTATGCTTCACAGGAAGGCTCATAGATCGCTGGAACAGAACAGCCTACATGAGCACAGTGCAGAGCAAATAGTTCCCCAGATGGGTCCCCCAACCGATCAAATACTGGCCAGCGCTGCTGAGCAGTATCCTCCTGTTAGAGTGAGAGTTCTTTTTCCTCTACATTTAAATTCATGATTTGGTTCTTACTCTATAAGCATTTCTGACCCCATAGCAAGTTCCTACTATGACTTTATAGTTGGGGAAAGGTCTAAAACAATCAATAAATTGTTAAATAAATAAAATGTTTGTTCCATTAGGGCTCACAATCATTGAAAAAAAATATTTAATCTGTAGTTATTTCTAGATATCATCTCCTTGTTGTAAGGGACTTTTGAAAGGCCATAAATATTGGCTGTTTTGTTGGGCTATCAACTAAGAGAGAAATCTCTCTACCACACACACACACACACACACACACACACACACTTCTTTTTTTAATTTTTTTTTTTTTTTTTATGATAGTCACAGAGAGAGAGAGAGGCAGAGACACAGGCAGAGGGAGAAGCAGGCTCCATGCACCGGGAGCCCGACGTGGGATTCGATCCTGGGTCTCCAGGATCATGCCCTGGGCCAAAGGCAGGCGCCAAACCGCTGCACCACCCAGGGATCCCCACACACTTTTGATATAGATTGTGTACATTACCCTCAAACAGCATGAGATTTCTAATTTTCCTTTATTTCGGGAGAAAGGAAAGAATGTTCCTGCTTCATTTTGTTACAGTTACTTTAATTACATCATTGGGGGGGGGGGGGGGGGGGGGGGGGGGGGGGGGGGGGGGGGGGGGGGGGGGGGGGGGGGGGGCAGAAAAATGTGAGCGTGCAAAAAATTGGGGGAAGGTCGGGGGGGGGTATATATGATAATTATCGGTTTTTCAGGGGTGTTGGGGGGGGGGGGTTTTTTTTGTTTTGTCTGGCCGGGGGGGGGGGGTTTTCTTTTTCAGTTATGACTGGGAGGATTTAGTATGATGGGAGGTTTGGTGTAGTCAGGGATATTCGGGGAAGGGAGGGTAATTGGAGAAGTACTAGGTTATGGGAGATTATGTATTTTGGTATGCTCCACGATGTGAGAAGGGGTGGACTATAGGGAGTTTTGTAGTAGGTTCAGGGTTTTATAAGACTAGTATTGGAGGATTATTGTGTGTTATAGGTATTTTAGTTGTTAGTATGACGCTATCGACGGTACACACGTCTATAGATGGTGAAGGTTGGCCATGGGCACTAGGATAGCTCACAGTGGGATAGTTGTCATTGGTGGCTGGTTCCGATTTAGGAAAGAGCCGTATAATAATTTCCACTTAGTTTCATGTTCTCGTTGAATTTTTGGCGAGTGGGGTGTTTGTTATATCAAGATGATTTGGCAGTACTATTTGGAATTGTATGGTCATTATTATACATTACTGGTACTTAACAGTTTCTAAAAAGTTTTGTATTAAGTTATTGAATGCATTCTCCTTCTTCTGCAAATATTGAGTGCCTATGATGTGCTGGGCAGGGGCAACGCAAATACAGATGTGAGCACCACAGATGAAGGACGAGTAGGGCTTGTTCACTAATTATTTTGGTATTACTCATGCATAAGGTGCCACTGGAAGGGGATGCAGATGGAAAGCTATGCAGAGCTCATGTGTCCTTTGTCCCAGTGTGATGATTAACCTGCCGGGTTTCAATCTCCCAAGTCTCTCATTTGGATAATAAACTATGGTTGCTCTAATTTTGAATGGCATGCCAAGTAAAATATTGCAATAAAACTCAGTGAGGGAGATTTTTAAAATCTAAGCAGGAAGATGCTATAATTAGATATAGGTTTTAGAAAGAAAACTCCTGTAGAAAAACTATAGATTTTAGGGGACCTCAGAAGTTCATGAGCGCACATAGGCTGTCATGGCCGTAGGCCCGGAGAAGGATGACTAGCTCTGTACTCATACTGAATGAGGAAGGTTAAGTAGTTGGGACAGATTCACATGTTTTTAAAATAAGCTGAAGATGGAAACCAGGTAGGTGTAGGTAGTTGGGAAGAGAGTTGAGAATGACCTAAACTCACAACTTATAACCGCCTTACTAATTTTTTGCAACCTCTCTCCAGATAATTATGATTTTTGTGAGTAGCTCAAAATGAACCAATGTCAGGTTAAAATTCTAAAGTTTTCCTTTTAGTCTCTTCAATATTTCTTTTTTTAGTATTTAATCATTAGTCACTCTCTTTTCCCTCTGCAAAACCCCCCGTTCTCCTTATCATCTGGTATCTGGTTTATAACAATCACACTATTAATTGGTTGTCTTACCCAAATATCTCTTCACTTTTCACCAAATTATGCCATTAGTCTAGTCCTAAAACATTACTTTCATTGGGTTAAAAAATATGTAATGATTTTTTTCAGCATCCATGGTATTATATCCCAGGTCACCACCCATGCATACAAGACCTTCCATAATCCTAACAGGTATCTCCTGGTTTTGCCAGTGTCAACCTTTCACACTGGTCAGGCACCTCTTCTGGACTTATTTTCATCTGCAATACGCTACAAACCTCTGAATCTATTCACTTTTTCTACCATAGTTAATTATTGAGGCAGAAGTGCTAAGAAACAGGGCTCTGCAATTAAACAGACTTGGGCTGAAATTCCTACTCCACAAAGTACTACTTATGTAACATTGGCAAAATTCCCTAATTTCCTTTAGTCTTATCTGGAGAATAGGTATCAGGTATATTGCAATGAAGTAATGAGAATTGGAGGACACAACAACACCGACTGCTTAACCATTGTATCTGGGCCATTGTAGATATTTAATACATGGAATTTTTATGATTGATATCATAATTATTAATTAGGTCCTACTCAAAGTCCACCTTTCTTAAGGAAACCTTCTCTAGTCAATACACTTATCTTTCTGTACAGCCCAGGGCATTCGCTGCTCATCTCATGTACTGTAATATTTGATTATAGTTAATTTAGGACTTGACTGTTGTTGATTGAATTTCATATATGAAAATTTTATTTCCTAACAAGACTGTGAGTTATCTTGAGGAGAGGGTCTAGAATATATATATATTTTTTTCTTTTCTGCTATATACAATCTAACAGGGTAGATTCTTTTTTAAGATTATTTTTTTATTTATTTGAGATTAGAGGGAGAGGGAGAAAGAATCTTTAAGCAGACTCTGCACTGGGCAAGGAGCTGGACATGAGGCCCAATCTCAGGACCCTATCTTGGGATCCCGTGATCACTACCTGAGCTGAAACCAAGAGTGGGACACTTAGACGACTGTGCCACCCAGGCACCCTGAACATGGCAGATGTTTAAGAAAAGCTATCAGAACTGATGAAAGCACTATCTGATGGTAAGAAGCGTGGTTCACTCCTGCATGTCTAAGTAAGCATATAAACCCTCTAAAGAGGACTACAGACCTTAACTCAAGTAATTGACTAAGAGCAAATGTTGAAGGCTTATAGACAAGGGAAATCTGGATGCAAGAAGCTCTTCTCTTTTTCTTCAAAGTATGACAGTTATTGTGCTTGACTTTAATTTACGATAGGCCTACTAGCTGCTTTTGCCTCATCATCACAAATCGGAAACCAAGTATTTCAGCCCAAATGCTATCATGTATGAAAATCATCTGGAGAGCTTGTTAAGATTCCTGGGCCTCACCCTAAAATTCTGATTCAGCAGAGAATTTGCAGTTCTAATAAGCTCCCAAGTGATGCTGATGCTGTGGGTCCTGAATGCATTGTGAGAGGCACAGCTCTAATCCTGGGGAAAAAAAAAAGTTAACTCTGGAAGGCCAATTCTTTATTTATATTTAGATATAAGTGGAAAAAAGGTAGGACACTGAAAGGCAATACAATAAAGTCCTGAATAAGGGTGGAGTGGTACCTCACTTCACTCAAAATAATGAGAAGGGATTGGGATACAAAAGCCCAAATAAAAATACACTTGAAAAAAAATATACTTGGATGAATGCACCTGCCCAATAGCAGTGGTTATCTTTGAGCAGTAAGATTATGGATAATTTAAAACCTCGTACTTTTCTGTGTTTTCCATATTACTTTATAATGTGCAGAAGTTATGTCATGATTAAAAATATACTTAAGAAATACATATCTAGAATAATGGCACAGAGGTAAAATGGCAAGGACACCTGAATATAATGAAATTGCATTAGTTTTATAACTGAGTAAGGAATTAAGAGATTTTCATTCAAATTTCCTTTCTGTCATTTACAATGTGGAACCCCCCCCCAACTTTGAGTTTTCTCAGTTGCAGAATGAAGGAAATGCTCTCTCCTTCAACTAAGTTGTTGTGATGATTAAGTGATATCACACACACTTTGTAAACTAAAAAGCATTGAGCATATTGATATTTTAATACAGAAAAAGAGCTAACCGAAGCATCTACCCTGCATGTCTCAGCCAGTTAGTTCTGGACCCAGTGGTGGCATAGTTGGATTGCACATTTTGTGCACAGGAAGCCTGAGGAGAGGACAGAGCACAGGGGCTAAGGCAGCAACCAGCGAAGAAAGTGAAGCACATGAGCCATCATCACTGCTGAAGAACAGAGAGGCAAGTGGGCTGATGGGGAAATAAACAGACTCATCAACTCCATGGATTTATTGGAAAAGTAATAAAAGGTCTCATATTACTATATGTTTTTGTAAATAAATCTCAGATGTGTGCAGCAATATTACTACTGAACCCATCAGACTGAATTCCATAGCATGTACAATTCCAGAAGGTGGTGAATCCTAAGCATGTTCTTCAATTTCCTGAAACAATGGTATAGTCTGCGTGACATCATACTAGGTACAATGGAAAATGCCAACATACTCCTGTGTTGGTTTCATATGGCTGCTGTGACAAATAGCCAAACATTAATGCACTCAGACAACATGGACCGATTATCTTAGAGTTCTGGAGGTTTGAGGTGGGTTTCACTGGGCTAAATTCAAGGTGTCTGAAACCTCTGGGGGGAAAACCCATTTTCTTACCTGG